AGTGCACAATAATAGAAATCAATATTCAAGCAAAAAAATCAGCACTACTCCATATGCTGACATCTGTTAAATGGAGAGATATATCAGTAGAGTACATTTACAATGGAAGCGGCTTCCTCCGGTGATGATTGCAGCTTGAAGATGATATGATGCAGTTTGTCAGAGATAAGACTCATAAAGGTGGCGATGAAGTGCTTACGTGTGTGTGTTTTTGAGTGTGTGTGTGTTTCTTTTACCTTTTACTGTGAGCACACCACTCCAGCTCGTCTCTCCACTCAGACTGGAAGCAACACAGGTGTAGGCCCCGGAGTCCGTCTCCTAGCAACAGCAGGCTCAGGGTCAGCATTTGTATGGATAAACTCAAGCACAATGCATTGGCTCAGGCCGCTTGGAGCAGCGTGGAAATCTTGACAAATGAGCACAAATTCCACAAAATTGCCTATTATTTCACTGCAATACTGCGTCAAGTGTTATTTTTTTCCTATTGGTATTTGAAGTTAGCGACAGGTAGACAATAATATGCTGTTGTGAAACCTAATGAGCTGCATATGTTGGCTCTTTTTTTTCTTAGAGGTGTAAACAGTGCAAAAACAAGATAATAAGTTCTGTAATGGGCAGAAAAATGAAATATTTTATCTGTATTGTATAAAGGAGGGGATATGCTACAGTAATAAATTAAGAGACATCTTGAAAATTCTGTATTTTTCTGATTTATATTAAGGTGTTTGAGTAAAACGTCTCTTTTGTTTATTCTATAAACTATTTTTGATCTTTCTTTCACATTTAAAAACATAACATTTTGTGATTTAAAGCTTCTTTTGCATAAAATAACAAAAATGATACCATGTTTTGACCTTTTTTGGTGATCAACAAAAATAAATCCAGCATATTTTCCATAGACATGTACATATATATAACTTTTTCCACAAATGTGCATATACACTTACCGGCCACTTTATTAGGTACACCTGTCCAACTGCTCGTTAAAGCAAATTTCTAATCAGCCAATTACATTGCAGCAACTCAATGCATTTAGGCATGCAGACATGGTCAAGACAGTTCAAACCAAGCATCAGAATGAGTTAGAAAGGTGATTTAAGTGACTTTGACCATGACATGGTTGTTGGCGCTACTGGGATTTTCATGCACAACCATCTCTAGGATTCACAGAGAATGGTCAGAAAAATTTAAATATCTAGTGAGTTGCAGTTCTGTGGGCGCAAATGCCTTGTTAAATTCAGAGGTCAGAGGAGAATGGCCAGAGTGGTTCGAGCTGGTCATCTCTGAACGCACAACATATCCAACCTTGAGGCAGATGGGCTACAGCAGCAGAAGACCACACCGGGTGCCACTCCTGTCAGCTAAGAACAGGAAACTGAGGCTTCAATTCACACAGGGTAACCAAAATTGGACAATAGAAGATTGGAAACACGTAGCCTGGTCTGATTAGTCTCGATTTCTGCTGCGACATTAAGATGGTAGGGTCAGAATTTGGCGTCTACAACATTTGCAAGCATGGATCCATCCTGCCTTGAGGCAGTTCAGGCTGGTGGTGGTGGTGGTGTAATGGTGTGGCGGATATTTTCTTGGCACACTTTGGGCCCATTAGTACCAAATGAGCATTGTGTCAATGCTACAGCCTACCTAAGCATTGTTGCTGACCATGTCCATCCCTTTATGACCACAGTGTACCCATCTTCTGATGGCTAATTTCAGCAGGATAACGTGCCATGCCATAAAGAGCGAATCATCTGGTTTCTTGAACATGACAATGAGTTCACTATACTCAACTTGCCTCCACAGTCACCAGATCTCAATCCAATAAAGCACCTTTGGGATATGTTGGAATGTGAGATTCGCATCATGGATATGCAGCGGAAAAATCTGCAGTAACTGCGTGATGCCATCATGTCAATATGGATCAAAATATCACAGAAATATTTCCAGTACCTTGTGGAAATCTACACCACAAAGGATAAAGGCAGTTCTGAAGGCAAAAGTGGGTGCAAGTAAAGTGTACCTAATAAGGTGGCGGTGAGTGTGTATGCTCAATATTTGATCAATTTAATGCATCATAGAGAGAATCTAATCAAACAGATCGGACTAATGAAAAAACCTCTACATACAAGAAATATCCTGCTATTTCAATTAATCCCTATTTATATATATATATTTATACACACACACACACACACACACACACACACACACACACACACACACACACACACACACACACACACACACACACACACACACACACACACACACACACACACACACACACACACACAAACACATATATATGGGTGGTATTACTACAAACCATCTGAATAAATAAACCATTGTGTATTGTATTTTTATTTATTATTCTTAATAGTTTTTTCCCATTATCTTTTAATAATCATATCAGTTTTTCTTATTTGCGTACTTATTAAAACTAAGTGTGTGTAGGTAATATATATTCTATATATGTATTACATAATCACTTTAAGATTGTACTCATTGTTTATGTATTCTGCAATACTTTGGCAATACTTAACAGCTTTGACTAGCTCTTTTGATTTGAATTCATTTCAAATAAATAATGATTTCAATAAGGAAATGTATTTAATGTGATTTTATTGTAGTAAAAAGTTACCTTTCTCTGTCTGCACCATAACAAAAGCCCTCATTATTTCAGCGTTTCTGCAGGTTTCATCAAGTCAAATTTAAGACTTTTTAAGATCATTTTAAGACCATTATGAATGAAATTTTAGATCATACATGTCTAAACACTAATGGTTTTTGGTTAATGGCCTGGTTGGACCAATGAAATTGAAAAAGGAACACATGTAGTTATTTCTTTACCACATATTTTAATGAGTCAAAACAAGAAAACTCTAGTTTGCATCTGATCCAGTTACTATGACCATTTATGTGAAGCTGCTTTGACACAATCTACATTGTAAAAGCGCTATACAAATAAAGCTGAATTGAATTGAATAGGTGTGTAGATTTTTTTCAACATGCATTAATTACAAGTTTAACATTGTTAAAAGTATATTTATTATGAAGAAAACTACACAAAAAAAATGCAAAAATATATATTGTTTGCATTTGGTCCAAATTGAGTATAACTCTTATTCTAATGCGCTTCTGTTATAAACCCTTATGTTTCATGCCTATTTATAAACTTTGTTGTCCACTCACACTTTCTTATGTAAATAATTTAATTGTAAATGGAAGATTATGTAAAAGGATATAAAAATTATTACAATAATACACTATTCCTAAAAGTTTAGCATGTTTAGCATTATCTGCAGTTTAAAAAAAACATTCTGGCTATACTTTAGTAAATGAAGTTATTTTGTATTTCATTTTTTGATCACTCAGTGTTACCAACTCAACTATTTTTGATTCACATTTTGAATATATGTTGCCTGCGCTTTGCACACATTTGTTCTGCCTCTTACTGCCTGATTCTGAATTATTTTCTTGATTTTCATTTGTTAAACTATATTTTCTGTTCAAAGGTAATTATTTACATTTAGTTTTGATTTTTGTTTTCCTGCGAGTTGATGTTGCACTCCTACACTAATGACTATATTATTTATTTCTTATGGAATGGCATGTATATTTGCAGCATGTCTTGCTGGATGGATCACATTGAAGCACAATACTTTAAATTAATTTATTAGATATTATTTCAGTCAATATATGTCAGTTTTGTGGTTTGAGTTTCACAAAAACCTCACAGGTTTCATTTGTTGTGCTTCTTTGTCTACAGTTACAGCAATTTCTAACTGATTATCTATTTAAGACAGCTTTTGTCCCTTAGATCAATTTATTTAGCTATTTTTTTCATTTATTTTATGTCATTTGCACATTTGCAGTCATTTGAGTTTAAAAGAAAACATTTCTTAGTCTTATGTCTTGTTACCATAGTGACATGTTCTGAGAATAGAACGCATTCCAAAAGTGTACTTGAAGCCCTGCATCATCGGAGAATATCTTGTGGGTTTGTTGAAGTGGAGTAGTACAGGTGTGCTTTTGGCTGTTAAGTGTTAAAAAACTTGCGTTCCGAGTGTTTTGAGACTGTCTCAGCGATTGAACATCTTCCGTTTGAGTGATTCACGGTGCAAGACCGAAATCCTCATCCTATTCCAGCTAGCAAACCCCAAGTTTTTGAGTGGTTACAGGTGAAAGACTGAAACCCTGCACTGAGTTATATGATGGTTGAACAGAATTCTGATCTCCCCACAACATCAGCTGCTAAAATGGAGGAAGACGAAGTTCCCAAAGCCTGCAAGATCTCCCAGAGCCAGAAAAAAGTGAAGCAGCTCAAAGAAAGGCCAAGAAATGGCACTAACAGTGAGTCATATTTACATTGTGCTATCCAATATCCAGTGTTTTCCTGACATAATAATATACTTACTATTAAAAATAATGTTTGTACAGGATAATAGACAGCTGGTTAAACTGCTGGCTATCATTGCATTCACGTGCATCTTAATGCAACATTTTGGGTAAAATGATAATGTATTTCATTTTCAGCTTTTCTGATACAACTTTAGTCTAAAATCCTTTAGTAAAATGAGATATGCACACAGACTTTTCATTTTCAACCGACAGCCCCGATGGCTTTCGGTGAACTGCTTTCCATTACAAAATCATCACATTTAAGATCTGTTTTCTTTAAAAATATGTGATCTTCACTGACTAATATATATTTGATATAAAGTGGGTCTCAGACCGGACAAGAATCACTGCATTAAATGACATTTAAAATAAACATGAATATTTATTTTAGCTCAGTATTTTAAATGGAGTTTCTGCGCTAGCCTGCTGGTACTGATGGTGCTAGCGGTTCCATACAATAGACTATTGTCTCGTTTTATGCTTGAACAACTAAATGAATACTTGGGTTAATTTAACTGATTGTAATTTAATTACATAATGATGTTTATGCTGTAAAAGCAACCTTATAAAATGTTAAATAATCACAGAAAGCTTTCATCTAAAATTTACTGTTGGCTGAAAAACTCTAGCTGTGCAATATAACCCAGTATTCAGTTTTCTGAAAAGTGCACTGAACATGTAGTTTTTATATCGTTTGGTGCATTGATCATTTGTGTAAGCAGTTTTATATAACATGAAAATAATAAAATATTATAGTCAAATACAATAAATAATAATAAAATACAAAAGTGTAGCAAATCCATGGTAAACTTGTGGTAACCTTGGTTTAGCTACAATAACTTTTTAAAATGTTTATATATTGGGGTTTTTGTTTTTGGTGAATTTTCATTTTAAATTTCTCTCAAATTACTGTAAACAAGTGTGTAAAGATGTGCAATCATTTCTCTTTTAACAGATGAGAAGGAGAAAGTGAAAGAAAAGAGAAAGAAGAGAAAAAAGACCAAGGTTGCTTCTTTCATCAGAGCTGCTCTACGATGGTTCTGCTTCTGTCCTCGTAATGAGCCGTTCACACTTTCCTCATCTGATGGTAAATGAGGGTTTTTGCATCTCAATATTTTCTAGTGTATAATGTCATTAATAAACTGTATTTTTACTCCCCTTTATCTGGAGTTTAACATCTCCTTGAAAATGACTTTGTACTATGTGCAAACTGCAATCATTTGTCTTAACAGATTCTGAACATGAGATCTATGAAAAGATGATTGTGGAAGAGGAAGAAGTGAAGGAGATAATGCAGGAGGAGGTGGTGGAGAAGAAAGAGGAGGTGATGGAAGAGGAGGAGGTGGTGGACAAAGAGAAAGATAACACAAAGCAAGAAAAGACAAATGAGGAGGAGGAGGAGAAAAGTGGGGAGGAGAAGGTGGTGGAGAAAAAAGAAGAAGGGAAGGAGATAATGCAGAATGAGATTGTGGTGGAGAAGAAGGAGCAGATGATGAAAAAGAAGAAGGTGGTGGTGATGGTGGTGGTGGTGGAGATGGTGGAGACAAATAAACAAATAAAGAAAGATACCAGCACCCAACTAAGAGAGGAGGAGAAGGTGGTGGAGAAAAAGGAAGAAGAGAAAGAGATAACGCAGAAGGAAGAGGTGGAGAAGGAGGAGGTGATGAAAGAGGAGAAGGTGGTGGAGAAAAAGGAAGAAGAGAAAGAGATAATGCAGAAGGAAGAGGTGGTGGGGAAGGAGGAGGAGGTGATTAAAGAGGAGGAGGAGGTGATGAAAGAGGAGAAGGTGGTGGTGGAGAAAAAGAAAAGAAAGAAAGATACCAGCACCCGACTGTCAGAGGAGGAGTTCTGGAGAAGGAAAATGGAGGAGGAGAAGTTGGTGGAGAAAAAGGAGCAAGAGAAAGAGATAATGCAGAAGGAAGAGGTAGTGGAGAAGGAGGAGGAGGTGATGAAAGAGGAGAAGGAGGTGATGAAAGAGGAGAAGGTGGTGGTGGAGAAAAAGAAAAGAAAAGATACCAGCACCCGCCTGTCAGAGAAGGAGTTCTGGAGAAGGAAACTTATCGCCAGAAGGCTATCTGCGGCAAAGTTTCTGTTTGAGCAAATAAAGGAGGAGGAGGAGGACAAGATGAAAGCTCAGGAGGAGAACAATGAGGAGAAAATAAAATACATTGAAAAGGAGGAGGAGGAGGAGGAGAAGCTGAAGAAAAGGAGAAGGAGGAGGCGGCCAAGAAAAAACTGCATGTTGGAAAAAGTGGAGGAGATGGAAGGAAAGGAAAGTGAGGAAGTAGAGAATCACATTGAGGAGAAAGAGCAAATGAATGACATTGAAAAGGAGGAGGAGGAGGAGGAGGAGGTGAAGAAAAGGAGAAGGAGGAGGCGGCCAAGAAAAAACTGCAAGGTGGAAGAAGTGGAGGAGATGGAAGGAAAGGAAAGTGAGGAGGTGGAGAATCACATTGAGGAGAAAGAGCAAATGAATGACATTGAAAAGGAGGAGGAGGAGGAGGAGGTGAAGAAAAGGAGAAGGAGGAGGCGGCCAAGAAAAAACTGCAAGGTGGAAGAAGTGGAGGAGATAGAAGGAAAGGAAAGTGAGGAGGTGGAGAATCACATTGAGGAGAAAGATCAAATGAATGACATTGAAAAGGAGGAGGAGGAGGAGGTGGTGAAGAAAAGGAGAAGGAGGAGGCGGCCAAGAAAAAATAACAGTATGAACGAGGAAGAAAAAGAACAAAGTAGAGGAGTAGAGACATACTGTATGTGAAGGAGGAGGGTGAACAACATTGTACAACATCAATAAAAATGTGTTTTGTACAATACTGTATGTGCTGTGTGTTGTGTTCATCTGCTTAATTCTCTGTTTCAAAAGAATTGAATTTTGTTTGTTTAAAGAAAATGTTGATTTATATTTAGATTAAACATAAATGTAAACATATATATGAAACAAAATTGTTTTGTATTGTTTAGTTTCTATGTATGTGTGTATCACATATACAAAACAAATATATATAATACACACACATATATAATGTCAGACTTATATTTTGCTTGTGATTAATCTGCCCAGCACTAATACAGTAAACCTACAGATCCTGGAGTCTGACCTTTAAGATTTATATTGCGATTCAGATTTTTTGTTTAGAATTGTTAAAGTCGAATAATTCAGAGAATTGCTATCTTTCCGAGGCAGAAACAAGCTTCCATAGAAACCACTTACAAATCCATCACATCTTCAAACGATGAAAATCCATTAATAATCTATTCAATTTGACTTCTATCTAATTCTAACTTAATGAACTCTTAGTTTACTTTACCATCAAGACTAAAGACTTTTAGTGCAGGTCTCTAGTCGCTCCGTTTCTATTACCCTACAGTTGCACAAACTGAAATTATGAATTGAAGATATGGCCATTGGAAATGTTTAATTAGCAAAAACTGCCACTCTCCCACACACACACACACACACACACACACACACACACACACACACACACACACACACACACACACACACACACACACACACACACACACACACACACACACACACACACACACACACAGTTGAAGTCAGTATTAATAGCCCTTTGAATTTTTTTTTCTTTTTAAAATATTTTCCAAATTATGTTTAACAGAGCAAGGAAATTTTCACAGTATGTCTAAAAATATTTACTTCTGGAGAAAGTCTTATTTTTATTTTATTTTTTTTCGGCTAGAATAAAAGCAGTTCTTAATTTTTTTTAATTACCCTAACCTGCCTAGTTAACGTAATTAACCTAGTTAAGCCTTTAAATGTCACTTTAAGCTGTATAGAAGTGTCTTGAAAAATATCTAGTCAAATATTATTTACTGTCATCATGGCAAAGATAAAATAAATCAGTTATTACAGATGAGTTATTAAAACTATTGTGTTTATAAATGTGTTGAAAAAATCCTCTCTCCGTTAAACAAAAATTGGGGAAAAAATAAACAGGGGCTAATAATTCAGGGTGGTTAATAACTCTGACTTCAACTGTATATATCAAAAATATATTACAATAACTCTACATATCATGGTTTTACAATTTCCATCACTGTGCAATAAAAAAAGAGAGAATCAATTTCTTTAAAAAATGAAATCAAAACTTTTTGAACAGCAGTATATGCAAATAACCCCAGATAGAAATCAACACGCAACACTCTAATCCGTAAAACAATTTAAAAAGCAAACCATGCTGAACAGTTTAATCAGATGAATCCATCAGAGTTTGAGATTGTTTTCATGCAGTGTCTCTGTGAATCTTAAAACCCTTCCGTTGTAGGAAGCCGGCAGAAATTTTCATCTGTCAGCTCAGTTTAAGATATTTGTATCTAACATGCGAGTTAGCTTGGGCGAACTGAATGTGCGGAAAAAGAAAAAGGGAAATTTCAAAGACAAATTGGCGAGGGGTGGGGAGGGCGAGGGGCATTAAATTTTTACCACAGGGGCCGAGGGGAGAAGTCAGGCAGAAATTGCTTACGACAGTGAGAGATGTAGTAAAGCTTTTCTCCTTCTCTCTTTCTGTGACAGCGATCTAATAGTGCTGACAGCTCAGGGGCACCAATGACACGTCTGAGGATTTGACTCATTGCTGATTCACACACACACACATACACACACATGCAACCATGACCTCAAATTACTGTCTGCTTGCTTGTGTCTTTTTTGTCTCTAACTTCATTTTCATGTGGAGACCGGCATAATGCATGTGTTAGCGGCTGATGTAAACAGCAGCATTAGTAGATTGTTTGAAACTCAACCTGCGTAGCTTTATGTCCTCGGGCAGAAGAGCAGTGTGTGTTATTTTGGTCACTTATGAATCTCTCCTGGGAGGTGGAGAGGAGCAAACAGAAGGTGTAGAAACACTTTTCTCTGTGACCTCTTCCTCTTTTGAGCGGATAAGCTCATTGGTTGGAGCTCTGTCGGTGTCGGCTGGTGATTGGTGGAGCTCAGAGAGGTAAACAGGCGGGCAACCACTGATTAATCACGGATGGCAGCGCTGGGCTCAGTGCTAAACACGCACTTAAAAATGTATGAGCGGTAAAGGAAATAGGGAGGTAAATGTTTGGAAATTGCATTCGATCTTATTTTTTAAGACAGAATGAAACGTTTGGATCAGATATTTACTCTGATGTCATTATAAACCTTAAAATTTAAAGAGTATTTTAGCTTTCTGTGGAGAACAAAAGAAGATATTTTGAAGAATGCTGGTTGCTTCTTTCCTATGCAATTACAATAAATGGAAAACGAGTCTTTAAAGTTTCAAGAAGAACAATTGAATGCCAAAAGTAGTACAAATATATAATAAAAGTGGGATTTTTCTACCAAAGTTCTATCAAAGTGTTTATAATGATAAACAATTGAAAATTATGACTCATTAACCTTCACTCATCACATTTTTTTAGTTCACTGGGTCATTTTAATTTGACAACAAAGTCATTCTGATTCAAAATTGACTCTTAAGTCAGATCTTCTAAATGAATCAGTTCTGTTGCGAGTCCACAAAATGATTCATTTGTCAAGACTTCCATCTTTTTCCTAAAGTGCTTTTACAATATAGATGCTGTCAAAGCAGCTTAACAGATGAAAAATAGATAATAAAACTGATTTGTTTGAAAAGTAATTAAGTTGTCCTGTAAAAACAATTCACAGTTCATAGCATTCAATGTTTTTGTGATATGGAAATAATTTAAAATGACTCTGATGACATTTTAAACCTGTATGACATCAGTGTATTTTTGAAATTACAATATGCAAAACAAGTCTTTAAAGTTTTAAGAACAATAAATTACCAAATTAGTGCAAATATTTATTAAAAGTAGGACTTTTTTCAGAAGTTCTATCAAAGTGTTTATAATGATGAACAAATTAAAATAATTACACATGAACTTTTTTAGCTTACAGAGTCATTTTCTTTTAATGACTCAAAATCAAAATTGAATCTTTGAGTCAGATCTTCTAAATGAATCAGTTCTGTTGCCAGTCCACAAAATGATTCATTTTTCAAGTCTTCTTCCTTTTTCCTAAAGTGCTTTTTGTCAGGATTTTGCCACTTCGGTTAATTGTTGTTTTGGTGGCAGAGTCCAAACACTAGTCCTCTCTTATCTAGTATGTTGTGCTCGGCTTTAGTTTTCTGGGGCTGAGCACTCATATTTCCCATCATTGTCTGTCTTTGTTATTGTGTGAACACTTTTGCTGTGCCCAAGATACGCGCTCATTTTCTGGTGTGTTTATTTTTTTGTTTGCAGCATGGTGTTTCCGTTCTAAGTGCTCCAGTCTAGTTAGTTTTGGTTTTGGTTGGTGCTGGGATCAGTACATGTGTGAGTGCACAGTAAGTGTTTTATTTATCATGTGCTTGTGTCTTGCATTCTGTTTGTGTTGGTATTGTGTGGCTTCAAGTTTACATTGTGGCCACGTGCTATGGTGTTTTGTTTCATGTGAACACAAGGTTAATGGGTTCTCTCAATGGCTGTGTTCGAGTCCTGTTTTCTCGTGAGCACATGGCTTGTGTCGTCTCTTTGTAAGATGTGCTCTCCCATTTATTGTCTAGTCCCACCCTCCTTGTTATCCTATTATTAGTTTATTATGTTCACCTGTTTGTTGCCAATTATTTCTCCATATAGCTCCCTCTTGTCTGCAATCCTGTACAAGTTTGTTGTCTTTCTTTCCAGTATCAAGTCACGTCTAGTCGTTGTCGCTCTTCCCTGCCAGCCCAGTCAAGTTTGTTTTTATGTCTTAGTTTTGTTTTCCCCCTTGGGGTAGTTTTTGTTATCTGTTTGTTTTATTTGTATTAATAAATCCATGTTTTTGTCCCTGTGATTGAGTCCTTATTCTTCCCCCACCCAGTCCTTGACTCTTTTACAATGTATATGCTGTCAAAGCAGCTTAGCAGATGAAGAATATAAAATAAATTTGATTCATCCTTTAAATCAGTTCACAATTAATAGCATTCAACATTTTTTTATATGGAAACCAAATCAACAGTTTCCCTGAAAATACTTGCTTTAAAAGAATAGCTTGATATGAATCAGATAATAAGCTCATTTAAAATTGTATTGACACTATTTCAGTGTATAAAAAACACTAAAATAACACTAGTCTGTTCCTCGAATAAATCCCATGACTGTAAACACTATATCCATTAAAAGGTATTAAGAAGTGTTTAATAATGTGTTTGTTATTCTGAAGCTTGAGAGCCCATCCTCATTCACTTTCACTAAATATAGCAGCCCACAATATTTTCCCCTTTAGTTTTAAGCGAAGAAAAAGCCATACGGGTTTGGGGTGATGTGGGAGTGAATAAACAATGACCAAATTTTGGGATTAACCATTCCAGGCTATTAGTTTCCCTCCGACTACCACACACACTCATTCTATTTCACATTTCTCTCTGCCTTGTTCCCTTGGCACAGCGGAGAGCAGGCAGTTTCTGGCCATTCTCCCGGTATAATGGCACCTTTTCACAGTGCTCGCTCTTTCTCTCTCCTTCTCACACACGCTCACACGCTACCATCTGTGCAAACCCCAGTCTCCATGCCCCCTCGTGCTCTCCCATCATGCCGGGGTAATCGTGGACTAAAGAGGGCCAACGGAGGCATCAGACCAGAGCGGACAATGCCAAAGATGTCCATCTGAACAAAGCATGCTAGGTTTAAAGCGCCAAACAAACAGAAACGCAACACAAAAGCATAAATCCTCACTGGTAAAAACAAGACTGCTACTTAAATTCACACATTTTCTTTGGCATTAGATGACAGTGAAGCTTTTTTAGTAGATTTCATAGACAAATTTCAAAGATTA